ACATTTATTAATCAAATAAGTCATGCATACTGATTCACACATTCCCTACAAGTAGAGATAGTTAATTTGATCATAATTTATATCACCTAAATTAGATTGTTGTTGGGGATATGATTGGAAAAAAAAGTTTGAGGACAATTTTTCGCGACAAACACTTTTCTTGTTCAGCCCAGACTGAGTTCTCTTTATATATGCTTCCATGGCAGAACCCTTGACCCATCTCAATGAGGTTCCATCATCAAAAGAGTAGTGATGAATGTTAGGCAGGAGTCCACAATGTGATAAAGACAACACTTCCTAGAAGTACAGTCGACTTCTTCGTCTGTCACTAAAAAGTCCCTACCAAACATGACGCCCAACCACAATATTAGGTAAACAAAAGCCAAAATATTATAATTGTAATGTCACATGGCATTAAAAGTTTGTAATTATAATATGTTATCATATGATTATATATCTCTTTTCATTCAAGAATTTAACCATCAGTGATATTATATATATGCATCTGCTAATGTAATGATCAGACATTATAATTATAAATTTACCATCCTAGTAATTATAGCAAATATCCTTCACTGCAAGAGTCTATTCTTTTGATTTTCAGAAAAAAAAAAAAAATTTGTTGTTTGGTCCAGGCAAAAGGGCTAATTTTAGGAGATAGTTTAGGGATAGTCAATTTGATATGAGAAGGCGTCAGAAGCCATTAAGCCCTATGAGGTTTTGGAAAGCATACTTGGACCCCAGAAATTGGATTAAAATCAATGGTGATTGGTTGTTCTTGGAAAATCAAAAAACACTGTTGCAAGAGTAGTTAGTGTCCTAAAATAAACTTAAGCCTGTAAAGTCGCACCAAAGATGTAAAGAGCAGTTCAAATCACCTGGTGGTTATAAAACTTTGCAGGGGCTTCAAAAGTGGATAATCTTCAAGTACTTACTGCATGGATAATGTGCCATTTTCATTTTGAGGGGTCCATAAGGCCTGAACTCCTTGCATGATAATCGAAGAGATATTAGCAATGAGATTAGTAACTTCTACAAGTCATAATTATGGAAATATTTCAATGCTTACGATTATTCTGCTTTTTGGGATGGAAGAAAGCTTTTGTAGGGCTTCCTTTAGGTCTCCACTTCCATTGATGGCAGGCAATTTGTGTACTCCTTTAGCAGCCACCAGTATTGTTACCTGAAGTTTGAGAATTTGGATAAATTCAAGGGTACTAAAGAGTTAGGGAAGCAAAAGACTCCCCAATTTATCTGAACTCTAATGAGGCCAAAAAAAAAAAAATAGTATCTGAACTCTAAACTTAAGAGTATAAATATGAATATCTCTATCATACAGATATCTGAACTCTAAACTTAGGAGTATAAAGCAATATATTGAACAGAACTTGTGGGATGAGTCTCACCACAATGCACTCGTTGTTAAATCCACATCCATTAGCTTTTTGATTTGTTGTGCTTTCACTTTTTATATTGTTCAAATTAACAAGTGTTACTTCATCAAATTTACTCCGTTCTTCAGTAGATAGTTTCTTAAAGCGTCTCTCTCCATCCTCTGCGCTCGACTTCACATCTGGTTGTACAAAAAACTCATAGCATACACATTCATGCATCAGGTAAGCATGATATCTGACTAACCTGGCTAAGGTTCAACACTGGAATGGAGCCACAAGAAACACTTTTGAGGAATTAAATACAACACAAGCACCTCAAACATGATATACTTAGCCAAATTACAAAGGATGTGAAGAATAGCAATAATTAAGCAAATTTTCTATCCATTTTTTAGATATCCAAAGTGAATCCTTAATTTCTCAATGACAGTCATAATAAGAGAAAAAGGGTAAAGAAAGAGGTGAAAGGTAAATGCAATCAGATGTATCCCAATCTCTCCAAGTTTCCATATACCACAAAAACAGAACTTTGAACTATTAGTTCACCAAGAGCCTAGAGAAGAAAAGCAAAAGGTTCACAAGGTTAACTTACCGATGAATAACTAGAGATGCAGTAATCAGGATTGTGAAGCAAAGCTAGTGTTGTCTCTGAAAGAAAAAATAAAGCATGTAAGACTCGTTTGGTGCTCATGATGAAAAAGGTAGAGGATATTGGACATGACATAAACTGCTAGATGATACAATTCCAAGTACCAAGCTGCCCTAGATCATGCTAAGTCCCTTTATTCATATTAGATCATTCTAATATTAGGTCCATTGATTTGAAATTAGATCATTTACAATCAGGAGGAACCAAAGGAAGAAAGAGTATACAGTATCCATGTGCATCTCAGTTGAACTAAAAACCTAGAAAGAAAACTAACTGAGCTTCCTATGAAATATGATATATCAGCACGTCAGCATCTGCCCCAAAAATTATTTTAGGAAAAACTGACAACTCGATAGTCAGATGAAAAGCCTATTAGAAGCTTCAGGCCAATGAAAATAACTAGAAATCTATCAGCAATCACATTAAATGATGATTCAAGGCATGGTGAACTAGTGATAAACCATCGGCAATAAGTACCATTTCTGTAATGTCAAAAAAAGCAAAGAATGGGGTAATGTAAAGCAGTGCAGAACAAATTAAAATTCCTAATGTTGTGCAGAAAAGATACTACCAGATTAAGATAACTCTTAATCAATCACGTGATTGGTTATATATTGAGAATAAGAATGTTCAACACAACCTCAAAGACCCTTCCATAGGAATGCTGAAGTGACAGTATATGCCTGGTTTTGCATAAGCACTCTTAAATCAGACCTAGTGAAGAAACTTAGGGTGTAACTTTTAAGGAAACATGCAGCCAAAGCACTAGCCCCCAAGGAATGAAGCCCTCATGAGTCATGAAACCATGCTAACAAATAAGCAGAGATTAGCGCATGTATATCTAGTACCATTAAATAACAAAAGAGGAATAATGATTTATCTATCTTTCCATTTAAAATTTGCATGGACACACAATATGCTCTACTATAAATTACATAAAAGGGTGGTTAGATGAGAGAAATATAACTTGAATAAAAAAGCAATAAGGTCTAGATACTGGTACTAGAAAGGTTTACCTGTCAACACGTGCTTGAGACCATCTGAGGTTGTAGTATCAGCAACTTTGGCAATCTAATTAAGATCCCTTCGAAGAGTCCTAGCCGTGCCCAACAACTAAACCTAAGACAAGACCAATGTGAGGGGAAGTTTGCCATTTGCTTTCTTCAAATCCTAAAAAAAAAAAAAAAAAAAGGGAAAAAAATTTCTAATGCTGTTGCATATTAAATAATACAATAAAAAACTTCCTCGTACAAGTGATGATAATACGCTACACTTGCCATGCGCTGCTTAGCTGATTACGCCATTTCAATTAAAACTCATTCTTACACATTGAAGTGTCAAAAAATAGTCATCGTCGAATGTACTTCTCATATCCCTAAAGTACCATGCTTCCCATGTAAGCAATCTTTCTCTATACAGTTTCCTTTCAAATGCAAAATATGAAGCAGACATCCTACTATGCTCTGATGAGAGTGTATTTTTCCAAGGC